AAAATCACAAATCACAAATAATTCTAAATAACTTTTTTTAATACATAAAAAACTTAATAAAGATATGCATAAAATATACATTTTCTTTTTCCTTTTGATGTTATTTTATACTATTAATTAATAGTAGAAATAAAATATTCGTACATACTTTGTACACATTGTAACGTGATCATTTTATAAAGATAGTACAGCTTGCACTTTTTCACCATTTTAGTTAATATTTTTTATGACGTGAATAATATTGACTCAAGATAAAATAAGATATATTCATCACAAATATTTGATATTTGAATACGTAAATATTTTTGAAAATTCTTAACTATTATTACGAGTATTGGTGTGAGGCCAGTTTTGGATCGTGATACTCGTCGAATGTGTCTCAATAGACAACATAATTGTTGCGTGCATCTGTCAGTATCTCGGTTATAACGACATTTGCGTCATCGAATAACCCGACAGGACTCAAATCGAATGTTAAACAAGAACCATCGTTGGATTTTGCGATTCAACTCATCGAATAATTGATAACATACGAGTGGCCCTCGGGCACCCACAGCCATAATAGTAATTTCTTTGTTGACCTTTTGGTGGAGTAATTACAGACGGTAAATCCTATCAGCAATTTGCTAACAAGCCAGTAACCGAATCCGCTGATTAGGCCCGTAAATCCGGTGCTCTCTAACGACACTATAACGTATCGCTAACAACTCGACGTCGTTAACAAATGGAGCCGTTGAGAAACAACCAAGGGACTAATTACTAATTACTCTGTTAGCTTCTCTAATGCAATAAACCACCTTGGATACACTGCACCGTGGAAGTCGCCACGATTGTTACGAATTGGCTCCTGCAGTCCTCCACACTTGCTTCTGTTCCTCCTGCTGCTGTTGTTGTTGCTGCAGTATTTGATGCGGGGAGTTTTCGGGTCGCCGGTCACGTCCCTGTTTTATTGACCCGTGTGCATGCAGATATTAATAATGGAACTTGAAGTTGCAAATTTCATAATATGTATATCACAAAGCGATAAAACTTACACTCCATTTTGTGCCATTTTAATGACGACGTCACAATAATTTCATGCTTGTCGATATTGCATCAACGTTGAAAATACTATTTTTATTCGCGGTATACGGTAATAACGAGATATTGTTTACAAACAACTGAAATACGACGCATTTCAACAACGGTATTTTTGGAACATAATAATACGAGTACGAGCATCCTACTATTTTCCTACATTAGAATAACTTGCCTTGTTACGAATTTAATTTTATATTATTATGATTATACCTCCTATTAAGTAATTGTTACGTTATCTTATTCTTCATGATTGTGATATTATCATTTGACGTGACCTTTTAAAAACGTGATCAATATTATTTTTGTAGTAGATTATGATAATAACAAAAATATGCACGTTTTTCATTTTTATTCGGAAAAACTTGGATTTTCAAATGTTTTCTACAAAATTTGAAATAGCAATTTATTCCCAAGGGGTGTCAATTTGTCCTTCCATGGGAGTCCATTTTTCCTTCAGTAACTATTGTTATTATTAAAAACTTCTTTGTTAGAAGTGTTTTTTAGTCTTAGAAAAAATTATAGTATGTGAAACAGGAAGAAAGTTTTATTTCTTGTCCTGAGTGCACATTCATGAAGAAAAAAATGCAAACATTGGAACAAAGGTGGAAATGGTCGTAGTTTTCTTTTCTTAACAAACGCCGTAAGCTGTAACTTCTATTTACTAATCATTGTCCTTGGCAACAAATTAATACACAAAATGAAAAGACAATTAAAAACCTAAAAGATAAAGGGAAAATGTTGATCCATTTCTCTCAAATCTCGTGAAAAATGCATAAACAACGCAGTTCTTGACACCTACTCTGGCACTGTTTTAATAGTTCACTCTGTATATTATTTCAGTAATTATTTGATTAGTGTATGATAATATTGATACTTAAACAAAAAAAATAATTAGACAGTGTTTTGTCTTTTTTGATAACACAGCACAGTATCTGGAACACAAAGTGTTCAAAAGTTTTTTATTGTGACTAAATAATTAAATATTGACCAATATTCAATAAAATTGAGAAAAAATATGTACATATTTATAATTTCATGACGCATTGAGAATCTATCTTCTAAAGCTTTCTGACTCATCAATTAAATTTATGACTTGTTATTTCATGTTTTTTATTTTTATTAAATTTTATATGTAGTTTATAAATGAATAGCTAAAAGTGAAATGAAGTATTTCAACTATCTACTAACAGATAACATTTGTTTATTAAATTTTTATGTAATATAGACTCTAATTAATAATATGAATAAATACTCGTACGTAAATGTTACTAGTCTCGATTGACATTCACAGTTTATACAGGGTGTTCCGTCTAAACCCCACATTAAAAGTATTGGGAGTTCGAATAATCATATTTGTTTGAAAATTGGTACATAGCCATAATGCATTAAGTCCTCCGAAATGTTTTTTTTTCAAAATTTGAAAACACCAGAAAAAGAATCTAAGCTTTCTCTTTCAAACGCCAAAAAAAAACGAATTTAAAATGTTAAAAAATGGCAGAGTTACCGATTTTTTAAGTGGAAGGTGCAGATCCAAAAATTTTTGAAAAACTAAATATTTCAAAAACGGCTAAATTTAGGTATAGGGAAAGCTGATGAAAACTCCCTTAAAATAACTCGATTAATCCAAAAACGCAGTAAAAATATACCTTTCGATTTAAAATAAGAAAGTTGAGACCGA